GCTCTTCAAAGCACATCAATCTCCCTATTGCATTACCAGGACTGTGTGACACTTTTATCCCAATTACACCGTAAGAAACACAGTCACACTGTGTTGGTGCAGTCACACTGTGGCCAAGTCAGGAAAGATCCTCCCTCTGATGGACAATCACAGTTGATCAAGTTTGTCAGTTGCTTTATCTGTTTTTATGCTTGTTTGATATCCCTGCCCAGAGAGTAGAGGCTTTTAAGGGCACAACTGTCAGTGGATTCAACTTCACCATGCCATGTTATTCTTTTACTTACCCCTGTCTTCTCATCAAAGATTTTGATTCCTCCAAAGGAGATGGTTAAAAAGATTTTCTGTTTGTGTTCTCCTTTGGAACGAGCGCCAGCAACAACGCCCTGTTGAAAGGAAGGATGTGGTTTTTACTTTAGTGTTTTCATTTGAAAATTCCCTCCGGTCCCAAAGCAAAGGCATGTCAGATATCATGAACTGAAGCCACCAATCATGTACACTCCATTCCCTCCCCACTTCCATGCTGCCTTCCCCGACGGGCTTGCATTTTCTTGATGTTTTAGGGTAATACTTGTCCTCACTGCTCAAAAACTGTAGAAATAGATATTTGAACATGTATCCATTGGACGAACCAAGATTTATAGAGTGTCTACTTTGTGCCTAGATGCTCAGTTCAGAATTCGAGACCCCAGTTTAAACAGAATATGGTCCTCTTGTTAAAATCTTTGCTGGGTTTTGTATTAGATATGGTTTTAACCTTTTAAATAAAGATGAGTCGTGGAATACATTCCTAAATGTGATTTTAATTTTATACTTCTCGGAAAAGTTTTCATATGAATTAATTTTAGAGATCAAAAAGAAAAGAAAAAATATTGCCAGACTGCATGTCTCAATTTTGTTTGGAAAAATGTGATGGTCATATGTCTAAGGTTTGCCGTTTTTACCCACACATTTTGTATGTTCTACCATTTTTCCAATCATTCCTGTGCTTTCAAGGAAAGTACCTACCAAGTGCATTCCACTTCTCAAAACTCTGTTTCCCCACTTTTCCAAATTTTTTGTAAACTGAAGATATGTGTATGAGTCAATTAGAAGGTAGGTGTCACAAAAGGTAGGTATGTTACTCTGCTTACTGCTCTCTTCCTCGTACCCAGGACAGTCCCTGAAGGTCAGGAGACACTCAGGAAATTATTGTTACATGAATGTGCTATCAAGAGTCCTCGCCAAAGCTGATATTATGCAAGTTCAGAGTAAAGACACATTTTTTTTTTTTTTTGCGGTACGTGGGCCTCTCACTGCTGTGGCCTCTCCCCTTGCGGAGCACAGGCTCTGGACGCGCAGGCTCAGCGGCCATGGCTCACGGGCCCAGCCACCCTGCGGCATGTGGGATCTTCCCGGACCGGGGCACGAACCCGTGTCCCCTGCATCGGCAGGCGGACTCTCAACCACTGAGCCACCAGGGAAGCCCCCGACACTTGCTTTTTAAATCAGCCTCTGTGGTGGCCAATTACAGGCAAGCATGGGCATCATATTAGGGTACAACTCAGAGGATGAGGACATTCAAGGGATTTATGCTCCAGGGCTGTTGCAGACTCTGCATTACATGTTTTGAGGCTTCTAGCCCCTTCATCCCCATTAGCCTCCACAAAGGGTGAGTAAGCCCTATCCTCAACAGTTATCATTCTGGACTTCTTTAGGAGTAGAAAAGTCTAAAATAATCATGATTTCATACTTCCAAAAGTCCTTTGTGCTGTTCTGAGAACAGCATGTTCTCACCCTCAGTCTCAGCAAATAGAGTGAGAGGTATGACCACAAAGCACAAGGAAAGGGCATTCTCCTGAGGCTGTGTGATTATCTTCCCTTTGGGTACTGGAAATAGTCTGCGGAATGGAAACATCTGGATTATACTCCTGGCTGTGATCTTGGACAAATGACTTAACTCTCAACTCTACTTTCTCAAGTGTAAATGCTTCTCTTGCATGTTTGAGAGAATTAAAGGAAAAGTTATGGAAAGTACCCAGCACAACACCTGGTACACTGTAGGGATATCATAAAAATTAATTTCTTCCAGTAAATGAATGACTGTCTCTTCGCGTTCGAGGTCCAGTTCCTGTTTGGTACCTAGCAGTAGGAAATTCACTCCCTCAGGAGTCTCCCATTCATTCTCAAGCACCTCTGACATGTGGATGTACAGAATGTTGAAGTCAGAGAAAACCTTCAAACAAATCAGTCCAAATTTCTCTACCAACAGATGAGAAAACTGATGTCTGAAAAGCTGGGTGGACAGTCCCAAGATGGTACAGAGAGCTGGTGAGAAAGCTGAGACAACAGATCCACTCTCAAGACTCTTGGTGCAGGGGGCAGTTATTATTCCTTTACGTGTGTATTCTTTCTAGCGAGCCCAGATCTCTTTCCTGTAACCCTACCCAGTGCTCCTCTTTTGACCCTTCAGGGATGGTACTCACTGACATAAGATTCCTCCTCCAATGACTGCCCTCTAAATAGTTAAAGAGAGTGACTCACCCCAAAGCGAAGTCTCCTGTCTCTTTAACCCTTCCTCTTGTTCAAAGGTTTCTAGATTCCGCAGCGTGCTGCGTGCTTTCCCATAAATTCACTCAGGGATGGTTTTAAGGACATGGGAGAAGGGTCCAAGTATGTCTTTGCAATCCCAGGGGTAGTTCTTATTTCTCTTCAATGTCACCTGATCAGAGATAGGGCCTCTGACCCCTCCACTCTCCACACCAAGCTGCCTCCCATTCTTTCCCCCTGCATCTTTTTTTCCTCGTCATACCCACGGGCATATTTTATATTCATTTGTTGACTGTCTGCCTTTGCCCAACAGAACAAAAGCTCAACTGGGCACAGAACTTTGTTTTATCCAGGAATAAAAAAGGCACTCAAAAAAGTGAAGTGGGGCTTCCCTGGTGGCGCAGTGGTTGGGAGTCCGCCTGCCGATGCCGGGGACACGGGTTCGTGCCCCGGTCTGGGAGGATCCCCCGTGCCGTGGAGCGGCTGGGCCCGTGAGCCATGGCTGCTGAGCCTGCGCGTCCGGAGCCTGTGCTCCGCAACGGGAGAGGCCACAACAGTGAGAGGCCCGC